TATATTGTCCAAGAATTCTTAATCGGATATATTCATTTATCTTTGGGAAAATGTATAAATCAGCGTCTTTTTCCACCAGCTATGAGTTAATTATTAAGACTTGTATCACAAAATCATTATTAATTCAGGAAAATTCTTGCAATCTAAAAGTATTTTCTGGCTTTAAATAACCTTTTAAAAAGTTGATAAACTGTAAAAAAAAAATCAATCTTCATCTTTTACCTCTTCTTCTACTTGGGTTTAAGTGTGAATTCGTAGTTTGTTGATTTGTTCATTATCTGCGTCATTCGTTTACTTATTTATTGATTTAGATTTTTTGTTTATTTTATTGTTCTTACTGTATATTTTTTTTTTTTTTGATAATTATTTTTATTTTCAATTTTTAAGTAGCATCGTAAAATTTTGTTTTTGTGTCTGCATTTTAATAAGAGTTCTGCTTGTTTATTTAGTAATTGGTGTTAGTCTGGGAATGTAATTATAGTTATTTTCTCCTCCCGGGAGAGTTTTCTGTTTTTAGATTTATTATTTTAAGCGAATGATGTTTTCCTTATTTCTTATGAATCTTTTTGGCGTGGTTTGGTATTTGGCTTTAATTTCTCATATATATCATTGTTCTGTTCACGTATTTACTATTTGTGAAGAATGTTTCTCTTTTACCTTGCTCTTTCAGCTACTCCTATGAATATTTTTTCTTCCTTATGTGCTAATGTTACTGTAGCTTCGTATATTAAATTGTTTTGGAAACAATTACCGTTTAAGGTACATTCGTTCTTTGCTCTGCAGTTACACACTGGTTTGGCTCGTGCAGGTTGTTTGTTGGCTGCATTTGTATACTGAACACTTTAGCATGCATACACACCCGCATAAGGTCACCAATCAACCCTTCGCAGGTTTTGAATTCAGAGTTGTCATTCTCCCGGACTAATTGCCATCCAAGGCTATAGAACCCAGTCTGTCCTGCTATTTGGCCATAGTTGTGGGGAGAAGAAGTGGATTCATACCTTTCCCAAGGGTATTAGCATTAACGGATTCAATTGGAATTCGAACTCGGCTCTCAGATTCCTCAATGCGAGCCGCTATTCACTACTCTCTCTCTCTCTCTCTATATATATATATATATATATATATATATATATATATATATATATATATATATATATATATGGGAGGCAAGGTATGATTTTTGGAATTTGATTATGGAGTGTGTATATGTAAGATGCGTTGAAATTGTAGTTTTATTTTAAGTCGACTGAAAAAGAAGAATGATCGATGTGAATTAGAAACATTGCTTGAATGAGCATCGTCTTCGTTGAGGACACAACTGGATAAAACAGAAAATCAGGGAAGCGTTAATGTTTGAATGCCGGAAGTTATAACTAAAGGAAAAGAGCGATGTGTGTCGGAGAGAGGAAAAAAATGTCGATAGAAATCTAAAAGTGGAAATCATAAAAATTGAATGGCTATTCGAATTAGAAAAAGTGAATTAAGTAGGTGAGGAAAAAATGGTTTTAATGTTAATTAAAGTGAAAATTGATCTGGGGTGGCTATTTATATCACTGGGCCGTTCTAAGCATATCTTCTTTGATTTCATTCGATTTTGACATTATTGATTTAAAAGGCAAAATTAAAAAGTTTGAAAGCAAGTCAAAAAAAATTGTTTTCCTACGGCTTGTCTGCCTTAGGTTATTTAAATCCAGAAAATAATCTTAGATTTTACGAATTTTTATATAATGGTGAACGAAAACTTGGAGATTTGATTTTAGTCAGTTATGTACCATGCCTGATACACGCTTAGATGATCATGTATCTTTCGATATTTGACTGACGAGGCAAATTTTTCCCCGCAAATGGTTGCCATTTCTTTCTGTGGTACACCAGTTGCCATCCAAGGCTATAGAACTCGGTCTGTCCTGCTATTTACCCATAGCTGGGGGGAAGAAGAGGAAGATTCATACCTTTCCTAAGGGTATTAGCACGTAAGTGAATGTAATGGATTCGACTGGAATTCGAACTCGGCTCTCCAATTCCTCACTTACTAAAGGGAAAGAACTGAAACTGACACATCCTAAAAAGGCATGGTACGTGGAACTAGAACATTCTACTCCCAATGGACTAAATAAAGGTTTCGGTTCGGAATTCCAACGTATTACAGCGGCCGAAACGTCGTAAATATTACAATAAAGATGAGAACAAGTCTGAACATTGTATATAAATCATAAGTTTAAGTCATATATGTCTTAAGCTAAGGGGAGAAGAGATGAATCCATCCCTTTCCCAAGGATACTTGCGCGTAAGCGAATATAACGGACCTATCGGGAATTGGAAGCCGGCTCTCCGTTTAAGATATCCCTAGCCATTATCCATCACACAACCTGCGCATCAATGCTTACAGCACCTATATTTCCAAGCGGTCACCCATCTAGGTGCTGACCAGACTCGACGTGACTTAACTTAGGTGATCGTCCAGAATCCGGTATTTCATTGTGACCTGTTCATTATCCAAAGAAATGAAATGCCAAAAGGCTTTAATACTAATATATAGAAATAGACAAACTGGCGATAGAAATCAACACTGCTTGATGACTGTCAGTTTCACGCCTCAAGCGATCTTCAGACCATCTCATTGTTTATACCCACAATATGTCTTCAATATTAATTTTTACCCTATACATATAGCACATTTTTAAACAATATAATTAGGATAACATTGTTTCCTGTGCGTGTATTCAACCCCAAATCGGCAGAAAATCTCTGTGTACGTATTATATATTATATGGAACTTGCAAGTTATGCGTGGAGGAGAAGCTAAACATTATAGAAATTAAGAACGTGAATAATTTGAATAAAATGAAGGAATGTAATTATCGCTAACTGTTGGCATCGCTGACGCATTCCTTTTGAAAAACGTGAAAAGAATAACAGAGCGTAAATAATAAGCAACAAGTCATTATGAAAAATCGTGAAACCACGCTGTTAATGGACAAATCAAAGACAAAATTTTGTTTTATGTGCATTATACTGCTTTTAAATATATAAAATAGAGCAATGTTATATAAGCAATAAAAGAAATATACTACTAATTATATATAAAGAGATTCGTTACTGATATTATTATTCTTGTTACCGTTGTTTATTATTAATATTATTAGTACTAGTAATAATAGTAGTAGTATTAGTATTCACTTTGTACTTAAGTTCTATAAAATTTTATTCTGCATTTTACATTAAATTGTATAAATGGAGCTGACTACTTATAAACGCAAAGAAAATTTAAATCATTTGGTGTTTTTTTAAAGGTTGACCTTCCACACAACTACAAATAAAAGGTTAAAAGTGTGATGAGAACTACTGGACTTGAGAAACATATTTCCCTGAAAAATTGATTTAAGATAGAAGATTTTATGAATTTCAACCGAAAACAGTACTGGCTGCTCAACCAAAGAATGCCGAATGTTTCCTTATAAGGAAACGGCTAATATTGCCATCATCATTACCATTATTCCACACCACTTCAAATAGAAGTTTCAGAAGGAACCCCCCTCCCCCAACAGTACTGGAAAGAGCAATAAAAGCTACTGGTCCCGAGAAAGCTGTTTTCCTATAAAAGTGTTTTAAGTGAAAGATTTTAGAAATTTCAACTGAGAACATTACGGGCTGCCTGATCAATGAATGCCGAATGTTTCCTTATAAAGAAACAGCTAATTTGACGCTAGAGATGAGAAGAACACATACTGCTATATTTAACAGCCCCCCCCCCCAAGGATGTATGTGGCACAAGGAAGAGTTCACCGTGGGTTGTCCGAGCCCGTAGGCTCGGCAAAAAATATTCCCATAGAACCCGTATAAACGGGTTCAGGGCTTGTCTACCTCCCCGGACGAGACTTTGTCCTTCAGCGAAGCCTAGTCCGGGTTACTCTCCGCCTCGACGGGGAGTTTGACAGTCATGAACAGTCTGGTCGACCCTAGAAAAACGCAACTCGAATAGCACTGCTGCGCTGTCAATGAATGCCGAATGTTTCCTCATAAAGAAACGGCTAATATTACCATTACCATTTATGCATAGAAATAACCATTTCTTCTATGTTTTAGACATCACTATCGATGAAGCATTCCACACTACGGATATCGTTTTTTTTATCATTTTGTGTGCTTTAAGACGGGAGTTCAGTTTGCTACGTAAATTCCTCGTAAAGTGATCAACCTACGGAAGCCAAAACAAATAAAAGGTAAATAAGAGTAATTATTAAGTTATTAAGTTAGAATATGATTTAGATAGATTTATACTATGCGGCTCTTTTGATATTTTGCTTGTAAGGATTATTTTATCTCAACCCAGAAAGAAAAGGTGACTAAGAAAAAAAAATTATATATGAATATTAATTTACTTTTAAGTTTAAACAACTTGAAATTTTGCTATGTCAGTAAGAATATCTTTTATATTATATAGAATGAGCATTTAGGGGGGTGCGTTTGGGTTCGATTTACAATGAATTTGCATAGAAAATTGAAATCCTCTGATAAAATATAAAAAAATTAAGAAAAAAATTATATTATGTGTCTATAGTAATTAAAATTTATACTATGTGTCTATAGTAATTATTTGACAGGAATGGGTAAAGCATAAAAAAAGAAAAAAATATGTATTTCTCAAAGAAGTGCATTTCAACGTCATGCCGGCTATATTGCTTGAAATTAATATCTGCAAAATCTGCCTTGAGTTTATTGATCGATTTGATTCTTACGGCTTATCAACCCTTTGAATGTTATTTAAAGCCAGAAAATATTTTTACATTGTAATAATTTTGGGGGAAATAATAATGTTTTACATATACAAGTTCGACTAATTAACCCATAGCTGGGAAGAGAAGGGGTGGATTCATACCCTCCCAAATGTATTTACTCGTAACTGAATATAACGAACCCAATTAGAACTTAGCTCTCTGACTTCAATTTCCGAGAGAGTGCACCATTACATCCAGTACACCACCGATACATTGAAGCTTACAGCTCCTGATATTTCCTAAGCGGCCACCCACCTAGATACTGACCAGTCTTGAAATTGCTTCACTTCGATGTTCTTACGAGAACCGGTGTTTCAACGTGGTATGGCCGGAAGCCATAATTTGTCTTGATTCATGACAGTCAGTAAATTGAGTGAGTGTTTGTCTCATCTCTAATCAAGCGTTAAAGAAATCCTCAAATATTGTTTAAAGATTTAATTAAGATTGTCGCTTGCGATCATTAATTCTGCTTATCCACAACATAAATTCAATACGACGTTGTTTTATAAGACAATTTAACGTAATATTATAACGAATCCTAATCTCTTTTTGTTGTTTTTAATCTGTTTTATGCTTGAAATACAAAGCAACATTAGCGTCCTTTCTTAGAAAATAAAGACGAACAAATAATTAAATTGGAAAAGTAGACAATTCGTTTAATTTTACAAGGACGGACGTGCAGCTTGCTTGTCTCAGTCGACTATATTAGCAAACTAGGTTTGTCAATTTGCATTGTTAATCAAATCTGGTTAATTTAGGTGCAGATCTCGTGAGACTCGGTGCAAAGCTTGTGAAATCTCTAGTCAGATAACTTTCTAGTGACTCGTCTACATTGGTTTGCGGCCTTTGTTTTAAAAAAAAAATCCTCACGATAATATTAGAGCAGGAAAAGAAGAGGACTCGGCATTATTGAAGATTTGTCGACCCGGTTGTCAAAAGATATACGCAAGAAGACCTATTCTGAACTTAGTATTCGCGTCACAGCCTTGCTTCAGTTTTTGTCTGCCCATGAGGACAGACAAAAACTGAAGCAAGATTGAGGAGTATGGTTGTATTGTGCGTGCCTAAACGGCATGTCAGCTCGACAAGCTGGCTTTGAGAAGCGAATACTAAGTTCAAAACAGCTTGATATTACAATCAAATGCTCCGTGTACCCGATACCAGGAGGTCCTCGGAGCAATTAGGAGATAATACGCTTCGTTTCCTAGGCTGCTTATTAATATTAGCCTAAAAGAATGAAATGGAAATACTATATTGAATCCACTGCTAGTTCAGCTGTTAAGAAAGTTAGCTCATTGTGTCGTGAGGGATACTTTTTCTCTCCAGAATCTATCATACATATCTATGATTCTACCATTCGTCCATGCTTAGAATATATCTGCCACGGTACCTCTGTTAGGTATCTTGAGCTCCTTGATAAAACCCAAAATAGAATCAGCAATATTAACGGTCCTGATCAGGCATCTCGGCTTCAGTCACGTTCCAACCGTAATAAGGTTACCTCTCTGTATGTTGCTTGGGTTGAAACCGTTTAAACCGTCGGTTTTATCTCGGATTCATGCAGATTTCACTTATGAAATTGCCACGAACTGCCACTGACACTGTTATAATTTTGAGAGGCGCTTTCTATAGCATGTCTGTAATGCGTAGCCCTCTTCATCCACTGGTTCAACCGTTGAGATCTATTGTAATCGTCATCCGCTTCTTCCACCGTTGGGGTCTTTGGGGTTTTGACCTTGCCGCCAAGGGCGATCCTACCAACTAAAGTGAAAATAACCAAATTACAGTAAAATTGTATGAATATAGAAGGAAAATTGTAAATTACATGAGTGATTGTATCAGGATAGACATAACTTGGTAGGTAACGTGATTCACCATAAACTGGGCAAACTATTGCGCTCTGAACGGGCCAGAAGCTGCCTTATAGAGATAAATATTATAATCTGCGAAACAGAAATTTATACAAATCGCCCAATCCAGAGCAAAATATCAGATATGGTAATAGTAACTGTAATATTAGCCGTTTTCCTATAAGGAAACATTCGGCAATCATTGGCCGAGCAACAAGTACTAATTTTGTATAAATTTAAAAAAAAAACCTTTCTCTTCAAATAATTTTTCAGGAAAATAGGGTTTTTCAAAACCAGTAGCTGTTATTGCTCTTGCTACTGTTAACTGTTAATGGGTTCTTCCTTCTTACGTATTTTTAGTAATGTGGAATGCCAACATCTTGATTATGTCATTATTTTCTCTTTGAGTTAGATGTGATATCCATTTTACCTGTTAATGCTGTTGAAAATGATGTAATTTCTGTTACTTGATATATATATATATATATATATATATATATTATAAATTAATTGATTTAAAATATGGTTATTTTCGCTACACAGTTCCAACCATGTTTCAAAAATAGAAGCTAAAAACCCCTAATTTTATTTTTGCAAATAAATTAAAAGCATTAGTTCTATATCTTACTGTTCTTTCTTTTTTATATTTATATATATATATATATATATATATATATATAGAGAGAGAGAGAGAGAGAGAGAGAGAGAGAGAAGGAGATGGAGAGAGGAAGAGAGAGGGAGACAGAAAGAGAGAACTCCTTGAGATGTTGTTCCCTATCATTTACATTATAAATTATCTCTTATTGGTATTACCAAACAAGTACAGACATAAAGTAGTGTACAAAACGATTCGTTTAGTGACGTCTTTTCTTATTACACTGACTCGGAATGTCGTTTAGCTTTGTCTGTAGCGTAGAATATCAGATCGTAACGAAAATGGTGACGCCCATGATAAATTGTAGCCGGGTCTTATAATCATTTGCTTTTGGTTAATGACAATTTCCGATTTTTTTTTATCGGTGCAGAACTGCATAGCCGGTCATCAATGCCATAAGAATGCAACGGGGAAACTGCCATTGTTTTACTGGCAATAGTTTCATCTTAATTTTAGTTGCTTTATTTATAGTGTCCTTTATTTTTGGTATCAATATTATCTTGAATCGTTACCAAATGCAGAATTATCAACCTGTAGTGATATATAGATTAACTAATGAACATACTCGGAATACCCAGTCTAGGAAAGGATTAGGAAAAGGAGGTGAGACTAAGCATGATTATTGAAGATACTTCGATGTGGTGAAATGGTTAGCAATCTTGTCTTGCTAAAACAATTACGACTGAGTAGTGGCACATCGAAGTTACGATTAGAATATAATTTCTTTTTTAGGTTCCGTGTGTGTGCGGTATTTTGGTAGATGTAGTATAGAATAATGACAGATAATTTTTTGTGGTGAATTTGTAAATTTTAATGAACGAATGGGTCGTCAATCTGATTAGCTAGGTATAAGAGAGTGACGACCAGCCTCAACCGATTTCCCCTCTTAAGCCTTATGCCACAATTATTGTATTTTATACACAATAAATGTTAAACACACGGAGCACTCCAACGTGGTGTAATGGTTAACAAGCTTGTTTCTGTTGGATAAATTACGACTGCGTAGTGAGTTCGATTCTCGTTTGGTTCTCCAGGTTTTTGGACTAGTACCAAATCCAAGCAACCACTAAAGAAATCATTTTATAATGTCTCGGGACTTTCGGGGATTGGGAAGGATCAAAAACGTTAAACCCAAGCCCTAGGTGGCTTTCCACCGAGACAGTAACTCTCCTTCGGGAGGGAGCTGGGTTTACTGCCCGATGCCGGAGGATTTCCCCAAAATGGGAAGTGTCGAGGAGGCTTAGGCAAATTTTCTACGGTACTGCCGGTAAACCCACTCTAAACTTCGAACTTGTGTCACATTCGGTTGCGTCATGAGCACTGAGTAGTAACACGAATACATTTTTGAGTTTTATTTCTTTTATCTTAATTTCAATTGATTTTCACCGCCATTACACTGACAATCAGTTTACGAACATTATCAAACAATAACAAATGGAAGAATTCTTTTAAGAACTTATATTTGACATTCTTCTCGCCGTAAGGAGACACTCAGATAAATTGATGTCGCAATAAAAAAGAAATAGGCTTTGATGTAAAAGGATTCAAGATCAAATCTCTTTTGGAAGTTAAGCTTTGTTTCTGATCATCACAGTTTAATAATGGCTGAAGGCTGACAGCCCGGCCAGTTGCACTGAAAAGCAACGATAAATTATGCTGAAAGAATTACTAGTCATAAACTTTTTTAAAAGGTAAGATTAATATTAGTTCTTTTACTAATTAATTCTGGAGCTTATTTCTCTTAACGCCCTGTTAGTATCATATTAATATTTAGCAAGCGACAAAATATTAAATATTTCCATGATTAGTCAAGTAGTTTTTGCAATATTTCCGTCAAGTAACTAGAAGGGATTTCTGGTTTTAGTCATAAAGTGTGATATTCAAGAAAATGAACTTAATACAACTTTTAGTCATAAAGGGTGAGATACAAGCAAATGAATTTAAAATTTTCTGTAATAATCGTATCAGAAATGTATGTAAAGAACACAGTTTTTGCTTATTGCTTCGAATGAGAAAAGAAACACTTAAAAAGTAATCAAACTGATCATGAATTGTTTTAAAATATTATCTATATCCATAATTCTCAAAATGTGTGTGTGTGTGTATGTATGTGTGTGTGTGTGATCGGAAGTTGTTTATGCGTTTACACAGTTTTCATCTTATTTCGATGAATTTTTTTTTGTTTGATAGATAATTCTTCAGTGCCGGTTTGGAGTGCAAATTGGCTGGAAAAACACTACAACCTTGAAGGGGAAAAATCGAAAAAAACTGTTTTTTTACACTTTGCGCAAAAATCAAAGGCAAAATTTAACATCTGTAAAGAAACAGCGTACAATCAATTTAGAGAGTTGAAATCTAACGTAAAAGATTATTAGAATTATAAAAAAATATATTTTAAATAAAAATTATCGTATATTATTATTATGACGGTCCATGGAAGAAGTTCCTTCCTTGCAAGATTGAGAACGCAAAAACGACCGTTTTCAGGGCCACCTCTCATTCAAATTGTTAACCACCTCATGTGGGGATGTGCCTCAGTTGCCCCTAAATGTTGTTACCAATATTGATTTTCAGATGGGCTGACTTTAAACTGCTCCAACTGAATGGCAAAAATTCCCAGTCATGAAACACCTGGTCGAAGATGGGTTATACTGCTTGTACTGAAAATAAAATGAAGTCTATTTTGGCTTGATTTGTTGAAATTTATAAATTCTTTTTTTTATGTCGGCTGTTTTATTCGATTTTTCAACTTTTTGTTTTTTGTTGTTGTTTTTTTATTATTATTATTTTTATTCATCCTATAAAAAACGGGGAGGAACGCCCGAGACA